AAAAAAATAGAGATAACATTTATTTACTTGTCGTTTATATATAAAAACAAAACAAAAAAAAAAAACAAATTTGTATTTTGATCAATGAATACAAGAGATTTTTCTTCTTCTTTCTTCTTATGCTCTCAAATGAGCATAGTTCATCATTTGATCACTTTAATTATATTATCTAGCACTATCAATATGCAGCCTAGTAGTAGTCTCATTCTCACCAAGAATACTAGCAACTGTTTGATAATGATAACGTAAAAATAATTCAATAGTTTCATTTTGAAATAAATATGAAAATATTTTACTTAATACAAGCCATGTTTGATTATTAAATACAGCATGCTCATTTTTTTTAGGTAAATGAATATCATCATACAGATGTATTGAATCGAATTCAGATGAAAGAAAATTTTCATTAGAATCTAAACGATTCCCTAATTCACGTTTATCAACATATGTGTCATACAAATCTTCGGCTTGAGCTATTGATAAACTAGAAAATAAAAGTAAAGAATATTTTTTGTTTGATTTTTTTTTTATGATGGTTGATTGTTTATTTTTTTACCTGAGTAATTTTTGATCAATATCCCAGTATTTAGTACCTTTAATAACATTTTTTGGTATAGTTACATTCATTTTTTCTTTTAAACAACATTCAATCATATCGATCGTTATACTCGATGACATATGACAATGATGTAAGGGAAAAAAAATTTTTTTCCATAAATATTTTTTCATTCCAACATATGACATTGGGTAATAATGGATATTCTGATACTTTCCATATGAAAGTATTTCATTTGAACAGCAATATGCATTAACAGCAAGAATATAATTTGAACGATTTGTATCGATTTCAAAACGATGTCTACTAATTGGTAATAAATCAGCATCAGCTACTAAAATAAATAAATCTTTACTAGTATTATATTCATATGAAATAAAACCACCAAATAAACGTATGATTTGACTTGTTGATATTGAACGTGATGAATCAACATTTATAAAACAATATTTAATATTTAAATCATTTTTTAATAAATTAATTAATGGCATTTTTTCAAATATTTTATTAGAACCAACAAAAAATATAAACGGTTCGAAACCAATACGACGCCATGCTAATGCAACATATGGTAAATAATAACAATATAAAATAGTATATGAATCTGATGAACATGATAATAATACAATATTTTTATATATTGATGAAAAATTACTTGGATATAAATGATTTATTAATGGTTGCAATATAATAACATGTGAATAATCTTTTTGATAGAACATAAATATACTACTAAGTAAAGTAAGTAGTAAAAATATGAATATTGAACGAATACATGTTTTATCTAATAGATTGAAAAAAATGAAAAAAAAAATAATTTTCTTTAAATAATTAAAACATACACATTTTAGTTACGTATTTATTGGTCAGAATGAGTCATTACAATGGAAGATGATTATCCCATTTATGTCTAGTTCTATGAGAGAAGTTAAAAAAAGAAAATAGTTTATATAACTGAGGAAAAGAAACAAAACTATGGAGGAATAGACTTGAGCGACAAGGATGATGTACCGTTCAATAGGACTCGCTCTCAACAGAAATGCTGTAAGCATTTGCTAATTTTATGGATGGGAATGCAAACTATAAAAAGTATAGGAAGAGAAAATGAGAATTGGCTATGAGCTACATACAATTTTATTCAGTGTGTTCTATTGAAATTCGAAACAATGTATCAATTGTCAGTTTACATTTACTTTCTGCTTGAGATACTTAGTGTAAAAAGAAAGTTGCTTTTACATACATTCACAAAATAGTCTTCAGATAAAATGTACTCAGTGACTTCCATGGAGTATAAATAAAGCGAGGATACTTCACGGTCGTAAATTATGAACAATTTTACAGATTCATCTTCTTTGAATAATAAGGTTTAAAAAGACTAGAAAATATTATGTATTCCTGTTCGAAATTCTTGATTACAATATATATTTCATTCATCGAAATTACGCAGTTCATCTGTGTATAATCTAAAAGAAAAAGGGAAGTGATATTACTTGTTTGTTTTTACCTGATAATTAATATTTTTCATTAGTATAAACTTGTTTCATCAGAAAAATAATAAATAATTTTTACTGCAAATAAGGATAAGTAGAAGAATTTTTAAAATTATTTTCGTCTTGTTTTTCGATTTTCACTTATTTTGAGCTCTGTATTATTAAACTGAGCCATTAACGAAATACATCCAAGAAAACTAAATTTAAAAAAGTTATTTCAGCTGACTTTTTTGCTTCGTGTTTCGAAAACAAATCAAATTTGTACTCTAGTATCGTGAACCAATATATCGGTATTTCAGACTTTTTACGAGTGACTCTTTCAGTATTACCGTTCAGGTTTCGAAACGCTCTATAGATAAAACTATTGTTACAAATGACCTTTTCTTTTGTTATCGATTATCTTCATCATTAATTTGAGAGAAAAATTCAATGAAGCAACACGTGAATAATCGTATTGATATAAGAAGATTTTTCATGTACACCCCTAAACAAAAGTCTTCTCTTTCCCGTTGCTATTATCATATAGAATCCCTGTGGTCTCAAGCTAGTGTTCGTTACAAGTATGATTTCTATACTGTATTTCAGTGTGATGTATGATTAATTAGGATCTGCTTCAGTGAAGAGTGTACGTCATTGAATACAATCGGTCAACACTACAGATGAGTTGGTTGATATAATACTTCATCACTAGATTATCTCTCTTTATTTTGATATTATCTAAATGTTTTACCAACTTAAATTTATCTGTATGCGAATTCTTGGCGAAGCTTTGAGTCAACGGCGAAGAGAGTTTAATGATCTAAGTCGGTGGAATAGTTAGGCAATACAAAAAAGAAATAATTTAGTCGTGAAACATTCGATCAACCAGCTTATTTGTGATGTAGCTCAATTGTACTGCAAGACATAGTTTTTATTGCAGCAAGTTGTCATCAATCATATACTACACTATAATAGAGTACTTTAGTCATTCTTTAGCTAACACTCACTTAAGACTAAAAGGGTTCTATATAAAAAGAACGAGGAAGGGAAGAGTTTGTCCAAGGTTCTACATAGCTCTACGGGAGGAGAATAACAACGTGATGAGATAAAACAAGATAGAACATAATTTAATACAGAAAAGTTTTCTAATTTTACGATTGAGAAGGATCATGATCAGAGTCAAACAATTCAATTCACAAATTCCATTAAAAAAAAATTTTAAGCTAAGTTAAACTGATCTAACCAAAAAATTTCAGAATCTATGAACTGAATTGAATTTCGAATCGGTAGATTTTCAAGCCTTACTTTACTCAATTTTGATCCAGATCCCAACAATGCTTAATCATGTTTATCAATTCGCATTATATTTTCTTGACTGTAAGGATAAGGTCTAGAAATAGGGATTATCGATACTTGTTTTTAACACATAAATCAATAAATATCGTTTTATAATTTTAGTCAATATCAGTAAAATATAAGTTGAATAATATTTGATTTAGCTTTGAAAATAAAAAAAATTAAAAGAGAGATTAAAAATAATGAATGTTTTGTTTCTAATAAATTCTCAATGAAGCTAATCATAGATATGTTCACATTCTCATCAAAGGCTAAATAGAAAAGACTTAAACATGGAACCGACGCTGATTGTTTTACACCGAAAACTAGCAGTAAGTCAAAAATGAATTTTAAAAATGTATGATAAAACTAGTGAAGATCCATTAATGATTTATAATAAATGTTTTTAGTAGTAGTTTTCAAATAAACACTATGATGAAAGCTTTTGTTTGTTAAACTGTTGTGATGAAAATTCGATACAAAAAAGCTACTTGTGAATTTTTTCACTTTCGTTAGATTCAATAAAACTCTTCAAGTGAAAAATTGTTGTCTGCAAAAACCTTGCATTTACAATTTTCATAGGATCTTCTGTATTTAATTATAAAGGTTATACTGGATAGTAAAATTTTCTAAGACCTTCACAGAAGATAAAATGTAGATTTTCTCTTGTAGACTAAACTTTTTTTATACAATACTTTCAAGATTTTACGGAATCAATCATTTGGTTTACTGGTATAGTAATGCACTGAAAGGTTTACTGTCATGAACATATTTCTGGATGTATCCTTCAGTCTTCTGATAAAAGGCACATAGTCTAATCGAATCAAGTACTCTAAATTCAAATCTAAAAAAACTTAACTACTGGTATTTTTAGGTAAAAAGCTAGTCAAAACACTTTTGTTTTCACTAGTTGTTATGTATAGGTAAGTATATAATATATTTCGAAGAATGATCTTTTCTTTAATAATATTCATTCAATCATAAGAGTAAGGTATTCAACAAAAAAGAAAATCCGTTTAAACGGATTGTTTCTATTATTTTGTGTAAAAGCTCAATGAAAAGAAAATAAAAGTATTTGAAAATTTGACACACTTCTATTGAGTTTATCGAAAATATTCTCTTCTATTTGAGAAAGAATGTTCGATAAAAAGAACATAACATTAACTTGTTCAGTTAAATTTTCATTGAAATAGAAATGATCTTTTAATAGACAATTCTTTTTTCTTTTTGAAACGATTTATTCGTATGATTGAATAAATATCTCGAGAGAAAAGATGAATCTTCAAAATATATTATGTACCTATCAATATAGGATAGCTAGCCAGAAAAAAATTTTGACTAGCTTTTTATCGAAGAACCAAATTAGTATCTAACCTGTTTTTAGATTTGAATTTCGAGCACTTGATTTCATGAATTCATACTCTTTTTATGAAGAAAATCGACGACGTATTCAAACTTGTTTGTTATTGTTACGCAATTCAAAATGTATTGTACAAACATGAATATAGACATTTTGATTCTTCATCAAGGTTATTATCAAAAACATCGTAGAATTTTTATATTCTAAATGATATAAAAATAACTATACAAACGTGAATAACAAAAAGTATACAATAAAATTGTAGTGACATCCATGTCTTACTTGATGATCAATATTTGCTGTTGTGAGTCCTCATTAAATTACTAACATAAAAAGAAATATGCATTGTTAGCTGAGCATCCTTTATGTCAATATTGTTTTTATTTGTGACAAAGGAACATGTATCAAGATATTGTTCGAGATGATAGGTAAGTTTATTTGAAGTTAAAATTCATATCAATCTTAGTTTATTTTGTGCTTATTTCTTTTATTATTAATCAAATAATATGGATAGAAAGCTTTAGCTCTCTTTTCATTTCGTCTATAATTTTGATAAACAAAATGTCTTGATGAAAGAAGAATTGTAATAGTTATTAAAGTTTTATCAGAATGAATTTAAAATAAGCTTGAACGGTTTATTATTTCGAAATAAAATTTAAATGCACATTAATGATCCTGTAACGTATGTTATCATTTTTTTTTCGTAAGAAGATATAAAGTAAATAATCATTAGAAATGTTAAAAACATCATGATCTTTTAGAAATTCTTAATCATAAAAATCGATTCATGGTTGGCTTACAGCCTTTTATAGTACCTAGGTGTGTTACATTTTGTTATGTATACTAATCTTGATTAGAACGGCGACAGGTTCAGAGGTGGACATTAGGATAATCACCTTCTTCGTTTGAAGGATTTTTGAATTTTTCTCAGCAGAAGGCGTTCAAAAATGAACCTAACGACTTCTAATTGGATTTCAAAATAGGTCGTGTGCCAATGATCGCCCCATTTACGAAAATTCTAAGTTCACCAATGGATTAGAAAAATAATTAGGATCCATAAAAACAGATCTGACTTGAATCACTATGTAAATTAATGTCTTAGCTGAAGTTAAACAAGATTCTTCTACTTATGCAATAATATTTTCTTAAACACAATATAAAACGAATGTCGAAGTATAGAAGTAAAAATTTGAATTTTTTGATATATAACTAAAGTCCGTATATCAAGAACAATATGAAATATATTCCCATTGCATTTCTATAAGGTTACATACTATACTGGTGAAGAAATGTGTCCCAAAATACATAGAATAAAATAATCTTCCTGTGATTAGCAACAGTAGCTACAGCGTGAGTTTCACATTTTAATCTCCAAGGGACTTCGCTAACATCTTTTCTTTTACTGAAATCTCCAAAACTAATAATAAAATTATTAATTACAATTATTCTCTTCATCACATGTATTTATAAGATATATTATAACATGAAACCATTTTTTTTTGCAACCAAATCATCATCAACTATCTATACGATTCTTGTTTCTCTGTTTAGACTATAA